TTGTCTCCCCATTCTGACTATCACCAGAATGTTCAAATGTCAAGTTTCAGGGGCCTGGGCCATATGCAGTGGGAGTTTTGCGCCCCCCAAGTGTCACTGAAGAGCTCTGACTCCAAGACGTGCGGCTGCTCTGGGTTGGTGGGAGCCACGCTCGCCCCGGGTCAGAGTCTCAGATGCTTAGTGTGGCATTGTGTGGGCACCTAGAATCAGGGACCCTGCCTGCACCACGTTGAAACAGAGAGCCTGCTGGGGTGTGCCAAAAATCAAAGTCTCCTAGTGTGTGTCAGGAGTCAGAGGCTCCCTGTGTCCGCACCAAGAATCGAGTATCAGAGTCTCTGTTGCTTGGTGCTATCTTGCACTAAGAATCAGGGTCCCTCTGTGCGCTTGTGCCAAGAATTGGAGTCTCTGGCTCTTAGTGTGATTGTACTGGGAATCAGGGATGCCGGGTGCATGCAATAAGAAACAGAGTCCAGGCCCTGGTGCTCATTGCTGCCTCTTGCATGGAGATTCATGGTCCCCAATCTGCTTGGGAGATCAGGTTGCACAGTCGCACTGTGTTGGTAGGAGTCCCACTCCTGCCCTGTGGAAAACAGCCTTCTCTGTGTGCTTGCCCTGAATCAAAGTCAGGTGGCACTGCTGCTCAGTGTGGGTGTGGGGTCTGGTCACGTGAGTGTGCACTGCAGGAAGCAGACTCCCCGTGTCCAAGCACCCACATTCAAATTCAGTGCTGCCCCCCTGCGTGGGTATGGGGTCTGGTCACGGGGAACAAACTCCCCAAGTTCGCACGTTCAGGTTCAAATTCAGCACAGTCACCCTGTTTGGGTCCCGGGTCTGGTCATGGGAAGCAAACTCACTGGGTTCATGCCCCAGGCTCAAATTCAGTGCTGTCTCCCCGCGTGGGCCTGGGACCAGGTCTCGGAAAACAATCTCCCCAAGGTTGTGCACCTAGGCTCAAATACAGCACCCTCTCCCTGTCTGGGCGCAGAGCCTGGGCGAGGGCAACAGACTCCCCGGGGTTCGCACGTCCAGGTTCAAATTCAGCGCAGCCTCTCTGCTAGGGTGCAGGGTCTGGTTGTGGGAAACAGACTCCCTGGGTCTGCACCCCCAGGCCCAAATTTAGTGCTGTCTCCCCCGTGGGCACAGGACCCCTTAGCAGAAAACAGTCTCCCCAACAATGCGCACCCAGGCCCAAACTCAGCACAGTCTCCCTGCCTGGGCACGGAACCCAGTCTCGGGAAACAAATTCCCCGAGTTCGCATGTCCAGAATCAAACTCAGCACTGTCTCCCTGCCCTGCGTGGGTGCGGGATCTGGTCCGAGGAAACAGTCTCACCAAGGATGCGCACCCAGGCTCAAATTCAGCACAGTCTCCTTGCCTGGGTGCAGAGCCTAGTTGCGGGGAAACAGATTCCCCGAGTTCGCGCACATTCAGACTCAAATTCAGCGCTGTCTCCCTGCCCTGCATGGGGTTGGGATCTGATCACAGAAAATAGTCTCCCCAAGGATGTGCACCTAGGCTCAAATTCAGCACAGTCTCCCCACCCACAGAGCTGGTCGTGGGAAACAAACTTCCCCTGTCGGACACCAAGGCTCAAAGTCAGGCAGAGCTGCTGCTGCTGAGTGTGTGCAGACAGGCCTATTGTGCAGCCGGGGTCTGGCAGTTCCTATGCTGCTGCCCCGGGGAGGCGGGGGAGGGGGATTGGCTTTGTGACACAGAAATCTGCAGCCAGGGTGCCTGGAGTCTTGGTGTCCCTGGGTCTGCAGCTGTGGTCACAGGTCTTCTACCAGAGCGGCTGTGGGGTTCCGGTTTGCCCCGAGACCAGACTGGGTGGTGGCAAGGCTAGGATCCTAGTCTCAAGCAGTTCTGTTCTTCAAGAT